GGGTGGAGAAAGAAAAAGTTCAGGAGTATCCACCCAAAGAGACTGAGAAGGACCAACTAGAAATTTAAAAGAAAAATAAGTATGGTAATCTGGAAACAAAAAGGAGAGAGTTGTCAGCGGTGTTACATTCTTCTGTTAGGAAACATAAGTTATGACTGAATAATTACCATTATATTTAGTAATATAGGGGACATTTCATTTTAGAATTTACATGGAAGAATATAAATTCTTGAAAAAAGCCAAGGAAAGTATGAAGAGTTATGACTGGGTCTTGCCACTACCAAATGTCAGAACATACTATATACATCCTATATAATTAGATTGATGTTGAGTTGATGTAGCAGTGGACAAAGAGACCACAATTGAAAACCCAGAAGTTTATTTCAATGTATATAAAACTTTATTATGTAATAAACATAGTTTTCTTTAGAATGAGAAGGATGGATTATTTACCAATGGGGCTAGCCCAATTGGATATCATTTGGAAGAAAATAAAATGAATCCTGTAAGTAATAAAGACTTAAATGTTAGAAATAAAGCAATAACCATCTTGCAAAAAAATATAGCGGACCACATATACAATGTCTGGGTGAGGAATTGTACCAAGACCTCATATCCTAAAAATAAAAAAGGAAATTGAGAAGTAAACAACAAGCAGGTACTAGAACAATGGTAAGAGATGTGAACAAAGAATTTGCAGAAGAGCAAATTAATTGGCCTAAAGACTTTAAGAAAAATATTTAAATTTATTAGTAGTCAGGGAAATAAAGCAATGAATATTGATCTTTGGGGAAAAAAGTTAAAAAAACAAAAACAAGCTTCTGTTGCTAACAGAGATGTGAGGGAAACAGGATTCTAATACTTTGTAGGTATGATTTTCCCCCCTAATATTGCTTATGTGGTAATACAAATGGATACTACTTAGAAAGAAACACGTTGTGATGAAGTTTGCTTTATTTGTGCATGGAATACCACTGGGTGGCTTAGACACTGAGTGGTAGTTACTAGGTTCTACACAGCTCACATAACTCTTGAGGCCTCATTTTTCTTGTGAGGTGGAGATAACCATCTATCTGTGCTTACTGCTTTCCCCTGAGGTTGTGAGAATCAGCTACTCTGTCAGGTCTTTGGAAATGATACATTATGATTCAGAGAATATTAGCACAGCCATAAGCTTTTTAAAAGTATGAGTTTAAGAACAAATTATGTAAATTTTGACATGTATGTTAGAAGAAAGTGTACTTCTTAATGTAAGTTGTAGTGAAGAAGGGCCTTGTAAAGAAGGATTGCATTCAGCATTGGGGCAGAGTTCTAGCTTATAGAACTTTCTGCAGTGATGAAGACCTGTGATGTGTGCTTTCTAACATGGTTGCTCTAGTCACATGTGGCTATTGAGCACTTGCCAAGTGTTAGTGCAACTGAGGAAATAAATTCTTAATTATGTTTAATTTTAACTAATTTAACTTTCTATATAGTTATATGTGGATAGTACTGTACTGGGCGGGAGAGGAAACCTTGACATTGATCAGGCTCCACATACATATTAAATTGTAGTTTGAAGTACAGTATAACCATATGTCAATTGTAAGCATCAGAGGTATGTGGGGTTTATATTTTCCAAGAGCAAATTGGGTATTAAAATGTCATTTGGTGTGAACAAAAGATCAGAATAAGAAAACTGTTAACAGAAGATATTTATTGTGGTAAGCATTTATCCAAAGAATGTAGAAGCTGAGTATTTGGACTTCTCAGCCAGAAGTGCAGATACGCTGGCCCCAGTGCTTTCCCTATTCAGCTTATGTTTTGCTTCTGTGTTTCCTTACTGCCCATCACAGTGTTCTCTTTGCAGGACACCTCTTCGCCGCTCTCAAGGTCAGAGCCCTGGCTCTGTTGCTTTTCTGTTGTGATTCTTATCCATGGGCTTCAGTTTATTCTCCTATAAAATGAATCAAATGTCTCTCTTCAAGGTCCTTTCCTCTTCTAACATTCTGGGAACTTTTTTTTTTTAAATCCTCACCAGAGGATATTTTTTCCATTGTTTTGCTTTTTTAGAGAGAATGGAAGGGGTAGGGGAGAGGAGAGGGGGGAGAGAGAGACAGAGACATCTATGTGAAAGAGACACATCGATTAGTTGCCTCCTGACTAGGGCTGGGAATTGAGCCTGCAACTGAAGTAGGTGCCCTTGGCTAGAATCGAACCTGGGACCCTTCAGTCTGCGGGCTTATGCTCTAACTACTGAGCCAAACTGGCTAGAGTCATTCTAGGAACTTTTAAGAAGATAGCTTGTGTGGTGATTTAGGGATCAAGATGAGAAAGGATTCTGTGGCCAGCTGTCTTAAAGCCTGTACCACGGGAATCTCCCTCAGCAGCATCAGTCAGTCAATAAATGGCCTTTTGAGGGCTGGGAGTCTTGGTTTGTCCTTACCTTTGCTTTCTAGCTCAGATGTTTTCCATTGGGAAAGGATCTCCCATTCAATTTTGTGTATTTCCATTTATTATCAATAAGCCAAACTATTTTAAGGTTAGATGTTTTAAAAACATTAATTTTACAAGCTCATATTGTAATTGATGATGGCTTACTTTTCAGGGTTAATTTGTTCCTGTCTTGCTTTGTGTAAGATAGTTGGGAATTGCCATTATTTAAGAAGAAGAAAAAGAAGAGCTTGTCATTTTTTAATGTTGTCAACATTCACTGGTTTTTAATTCTTTTAGAATATCCACCTGCATGAATATTTCAGTAATTAAACAGTTGGCTAAATAAAGAACTGGAAAGCAATGAAAAATATTAGAAGTGCAATTGTGTATTTACACTTGGAAAAATACATCCAAAGTAGACAGCCTGATTTGTATCTTCACAGCTTTTTAAATTTGAGATTACTCAAAAGAATAGGTAACAAAGTTAATCAACTAGACCCTGTGAATTTCTTCCAAAAGTACTAAGCATAAAGTATAAATAAAAATTGATTTAGTAATTTATAAGAAGAACAAATAGATTGGTTGGTGAACCAAAGTAAAACAATGAATTTTTCTTTACATCATGATTTTTATTTTGGCTTTATTTTATCCTTTTAATGGGTTTGGTTGGGAAAGAATTTTAGGAGTGTGGAATAAATAGAACAGAAAAATAAAAAGATATATACATGTAAGAAAAATAACATTTTAGGGACCTCAAGTGTGTGAAATAGTTTGGGGAAAATCTTAGGTTTCTGAGCATGTTATATGTCTGGGAACAGAGCTGTATTTTACCATTTTTCTTTGCAAAAAAATGTTTTTGGTTCATGCATCTAAACTAATACACAACTTGTATCACTTAATTTTACAAAGCTCCAAGGCATTTGGTTATTGATATATGTATTCCTAAAGATTTACATGTTGGTTTTTTTTTAAATAGAGTCCTGTGAAGATAAATCAGATTAGCTTGGATGAAAGTGGAGAACACATGGGCGTGTGTTCAGAGGATGGCAAGGTATGGTCTGATATAGTCACCTTGAAAGCACTGTTCTGGCACTGGGGACTGGGATGTTACCCAACTGCAAGTGCTCAGAAAAGCGCTCTGCTTACTGTATACCTCCATTAGGAGAAACTTGCTTATTCTTTTTGGGTATGGACTTGCTTCCTATTGCTCATAATTAAAATAAAATATATTTTTCACAAATGTGCCTTAGGAAAAGTAATTATGAGAATGTCAATAATGTAACTAGTATTAAGCTGATTAACAGCTGTGGCAGGGGAACATGTCACCTTAATCATTACTGCTTTGCCACTTATACTTCAGTGACTATCTGCAGTTCCTGCAAGACAGTAGTTTAATGCCTTTCTGCCATAAATCCACAAAATTGGATTTTGTGAGTATGATTTCTGTGGGCCGGTGGTGTTCATTTTCACACAAGTTATGAATGTTTCTCTTGAATTATAGAATCTTTTGATAAGCAATCATAGCTTATCAGAAGAATAAAGTGTCTTACAATGGCCACATTAAATAAATGTAAAATCAATATATGTACAGTTTTCTAAAAACCTGGCACCCACTTCCTTGATCGAGGACATACATCATTTGTGCAGTGTATAACTAACAATTATTAGTGCTTCTTGCTGATGTTGAGCTGTGATATTTACTGGTTGTGGTGATTGATTTTCCACTTATAACAATGTCTTTTTTGTTTTTCAGTCAATGGAAGTCTTTTCTAATGTTGGTTTGCAATGATAAAATTCTAATGCACACTGTATTTAAGATACTTTTCTAAAATAACAGTTTAAGAAGAGAGTGCATTAAGAATCATTAAAGAATCTTACTTATTCCTGACTGAAGAGAGCAGAATTTCTAATCTAATTTCACATCTTTTTACGTGATTTAAATTCAGTGTGCTATTAGGATGAGTAAATTAAAAACAATATACTAGTATAAAAGATTTATACCCATTTAATCTGTTACCAAAAGAAAAATGAAGTTTTCTTGACATATAAGAATGCATTTTCTGTATCTAAGCCTAATGTTTCTTAAAGAGTCTTTTGAAATAGTAATTGGAACACTCATGCTTTTCAAAAAGCACTGTCAAATTTTATAACACCTTCTGAAATTCTGAGCTGAACCAGACTGTCAAAGAGAGATTGAGGGAGGAGGAGTTATGTGCAGAAATTGAGAAGAATTACCCAAACTATTGAAACATATTTGTATTTATATATTTGTAAGAAAGATCATCTTCATTTTGTTTTCTTCTTCTGGGCTCTTATCAATTTAATTGAACTAATTTGTTGAAAGAGAATATTCAGTTTTTGAATTGAAAAAATAATTTTTATTAAGGTGATTCATCTAGGAATTTTCAGAGTTTTAAATTTTGAAGAATTATTATTTGATGTAGCAAAGTGGGTATTTTAACTACTATTTCTAGGGAATAATGAGATGACCCTCAGATATCTCTGAGGGTACACTTCTTGGCAAACATCTTTGTTTTTCTATTTTAGTCAAATTTATAACTGCTATATTTTGGCGTAGACCCATGATACATTTTAAAAAATACTTTTCTCATATATTTTATTAGTATTGGTAGAATTGAAAATTAAGTATTTTAGTGCATATTTTTATATAAGCTAGGCTTTACCACTGGCTAGCCGGTATTGTGAAAATTGAGTAGCTAGTATAGAGTGAACTGGTAAAGTGGCTAATGATGATAAAACAAAGATTATTGCATAAACTCCAGGTATCTAGATAAATGTGTCTTTAAAGGGCTGTTGTGATTTTTCTTTCTCTAATGTATTAGGACTCCTAGATAAATAATTATGTTCTATTTCAAAGATAACCTTTGATATTTGTATTCAGTTTTAAAGTTATAATTCTAACAGTTGTTTAAAATGTTCTGTTTATCAGCTGGTGTTCATTTCTATCTTTATTCCATGGCATCTTTGTGCTTGAGTTCTAAATTTTGACATATGCTCACAAATATATCGTGTGTGTGTGTGTGTGTGTGTGTGTGTGTGTGGTTTCAGTTTATTGGTATACATTTTTACATAACTTTCTGATAAGTACATACAAGGTTTATTACCTGATCTGTTACATATATTGCCTTTATACATAAACTAGAATCAGTGTAGTATAGAGTTCTCAGTTGAAATATTTTCTCTCAAAATTTTGGGAATGTTGCTCCCTTTTGTCTGACCTTCATTTTTGTAGACATATCTGAGGCCAGTCTATCTTTGTTCTTTCACAAAATCTTTTTAATTTTTTTCTTGGCCTGCCTTGGAGCTCAGACTAATAACAGTAGCAACAACAATGACAATAAACAGCCTTTATAATGCAGTTTGTTAAATTATGTCCTCTTTGGGTCTGTTTTCCTTAATTTTGTCTGGAACACAGTAAGTTATTTTGATCCATATTCTGAAGTATTGTTTTCATTTCAGGAAAGTTTACTTCAGTTCTGATTTTGATTATTGCTTCAGTTCCATTTGTTTTCATTTCTTCAAAGAAACTCAGTAATACTTAGGCTGGAGGCAGTGTCATGCAGAGGCTAAGAGCAGAGCTCTGTATTCCACATGCCTGTGAGGCAGTCCCACTTCCCTGTACCATGCTGGGCATGTTGTTTGCCCTCCCAGTGCCTCCACTTCCTCACTTGGGCAGTGGGCACAGTGGAGTCCTGCGTGGGAATGTCTCAAGGTGTCAGGTGTGTGGTGAGCTCTCCACCTAGGTTAACCATTTTTATTGCTAACCATTCATTTCTTAACCCATTGCAGTCTGACCTCTCCCCCTAAACTTTTCAAAGTAAGAGGGTGAATGCATAGACACTATTCACTCTTCCTCTCTTTCCTAAAATTTGTAAGTTGTAAGAAAATTGGTCATATTGTGCCACCTCCCCCCCATATGTGCTTTGCTTTCTCATTGTTTTTATTCTCTTATTTCTTTATCAGGGAGAGTTCTTCTACTTGTTTGTTCCCTTTGCTGATTTGCTATTCTTCCAGCATCAACTTTACTTTGTGGAGTAGAGTGTTATTTCATTTTGCATTTTTAATATTCCCGAAATCTTTGTCTCTCTCAGCTCTATTTTCGTATTAGCCTTATATATATTTAATTTTTTTAAATTACAACTTCATATATGTCTTAGAGTGTTAGGCAATGTGGTCTAATGGTTAAGAGTGGAATTTACCTGCCACTGTGTTTTAGCTGTGTGATGTCTACTAAGTTATTCATGCCTCTGTGCCTTAATCTGTTCCCATCTCTATAAAATGGATATAATAATAGTACCTACCTCGTTGATTATTAGGAGGAATAAATGAGTAAATATATGTAAATTTTTTGGAAAAGTACCTGGAGCAGAAGAAACACATAGTAATTATTAGCTTTTATCATCCTTGTCGTCATCACCATCAATAACATCATTCTGTCTTTCTGCTCCAGATTTATGGAGGGCTTTTCTTCTTACTGAAATTGCCAGAGTTTTCTAGTTTTTCTTTCTTTTTTGGTTACTATTAAAACATTTTTAAAAGCATAGGTTTCTCCCTCAAAATCATTGGAATTTTGTTCTGCAGTATTCTTTTTATAGCCCTTGCCTGTGTTTTTGTTGATTGTTTATCCATTTCAGAACAAGAGGAACTCTTTCTAAACCTGGGTTAGCGAAGAGATTTGTGTATGACTGCTCTTGACCCTGCGTGTTATCATTTTGGGTGTTGTAGAATCACTTCTTAGCTCCACACAGGGGGCCTGTTAATGAGCTCAATTTCCTCTGACCAAAGGTAATCAGTTAAGGCAGCTGCCCCAGAGTGAAGTGGGAGCCTCTCTTGTAGTCCCTGCCTGCTCTCTGACACTCTACATGGGTGGAGAAGATGAAAAACAGCAGTAGGCCCTGTGAGGGTCTCTTCGGCTACCTCCCTCGATGTAATGACAGTTTACATGTTCATCCCTGTTCTAATTCTTGACCCGTTGTTATTTGGAACCGGGGTTTGAGAGAGGCTGTTTCAAGGGAAATACCAATTGGGAGGGTCATCTGACACTCTGGGCACCTCATTCACAGTCATTCGTTGTCAGGTGGTCTGTCACCCAATTCTCTGGCTAGAAATCCATGCTAAAGTGGAGAAAGATACATAATCTTCCTTACTGTTTCATGAGGGTACCTTTTCTTTACTTCAAGCAGTAAAACACACATCTCAGACCTTCTATGCCTTGTGAAGTTATATTGTTTTTTTATACTGGAGAAGATAAGGACAGTTGAGGAAAATGTTATTCAGTTAAGCATAGTAATAGAGACTGACCTAAGAGTCCTAATCTGCTTTGTTGCCTTCAGCGAACACTCCTCCAGCCCCTGTTCTGGGTATGACAGAATTTTTGCTTCTGACTAGTTCTCAAGGGTAGTGATGAGTGTCAGCCTGTTTGCTAAGAACTTCTGTGATTTGTTCTCTTTTCTGTTTATTCCTCCTCATCACTCTACCATTATATTTTCAATTTGGATTCATAATTTAAAAAAAAATATTTTTTATTAATTTTTAGAGAGAGGAAGGGAGGAGAGTAGGGGGAGAGAGAGAGAAAAACAAACATTGATGTGATAGTGAAACATTAGTTGGCCACGTCCTGTATGCCCCCCACTGGGAATCAGCCTGAAACCTGGACATGTGCCCTGGCTGGGAATCATACTAGCAACTGTTTCGGTGCATGGGACGATGCCCAACCAACTGAGCCACACCAGCCAGGGCTGCATTCATAATTTTTAAAGGGACATTTATCCCTGGCAATTTATAATTTAATTTTCAGTATTAGATTCACAATCCTAGTATTAATGCTATCCTTTGCTGATACCTCAGTCATTTTCAACAGGCTTATACATCATTTATTTACATCACAAATACTTTTCCTTACAATGGACATCACTTAACTTTTGTTCTTAAAATCACCTTTACCTTACTAAAGGCAGAAGGAAGTTTATCCTTTTGAATTAATAGCCTGCTTCATTTTTCAACCTCTGTTATAGAGTTGCATAATTCAAAATCTAATATTCACCTTCACTTCAGTTTGGCAAATATTTGGGACTTTTGAGTGTTTTTTTCCTCTTCTACTTTTCTTACACTTTACAAGGAAAGATATATTTCTTATTTGCAAGTTTTAGGCTATCTCACATAATGACATTATGTAGAAAAATAGGGCTTGGAATATTTTTCTTGCTTTTGATGACCTTAGGCAAGCCATTTATTTTTCTGCAGAATTGTCTGTTGAACAGGCATAATGGTGTTTGCTCTGATACCTAGCATTGTGGCTATCAGGGTCAAGTAAGGTAGAGCAGGATTTTCAATGCTGGCTACATCCTATCAATTGAGGACCTTTAAAAATAAAGTTTCACCCCACCAGAAAGCTTAATTTGTCTAGGGTAGAATCTAGTCACTAGTAACTGTGCAGTGCAGTCAGTTTTCAGAACCACTGAGGTAAAGCATGTGGAATCATTGAGAGATATGTTAGTAGTAATAAATACACCATTTGACACATAACCATGTTGTCACGTTGTACAGAAGGGAAATAGCTTATGTTAGAAGAATTTAAACTTCCTAGTTCAGCATGAGTTTATACTGAGGTAACTTCAGTAAGTTGACCACTTAATGATTTACTCCATTAAAATTCAGATGATATGCCCCTACTTTTACCTGAATTTCTTGGATTTGAGGGGATCAATTAGGTTAAGCTTCCCTTGGGTAAAGTAAAACTCTGAATGCAATGCTTTTTGTTCTTGTTTCTTAATCACTATTTTATAAGAAGTCTATTGCATCTTACGCTTATACATTTATAGAAAAATAGTGATTTGATACTCTCTAAACAATGAGAAGCAAGGTGGTGGTGGGCATACATGTATTGTCATGTTAAGAATACATTCTAACAGACTAGTTCAGGGTAAATCAAATTCCTTCTGTGTTACATTGTACCTTGTGCTGTTCTTGGAACCCAAATGACATAATTGGCACAGGGGTATAAAAACAATAGTCACAAAATGAATGGAGTCTCCTGTAGATTTTAGGTTTTAGTGAATAGATTTATCTCCAAAATTATAACATAACTAAATTTCCCTGTTTGAACTTGCAACAATGAACCACTCACAACTTACCAAGGTTAAAACAAAAAGAAATCAAAAGTTGGAATAGTTTTATATCTATTTTATAAATTGAATTTGTAATTAAAAACTTTTCACAAAGAAGCCATTGGATCCAGATGGCTTCACTAGTGAATTCTTACAGAATTTAAAGAAGAAAAATACCACTTTTGTAGCGATTAGAAAAACAGTAAACACATCCCAAGTGTTAGGAAATAGTTCTAAGTGGCCCTAATAGTTCCAAGTGTTTAAGGGCTCCTGGAATTCTTATGCTCTGCTAGTGAGAGTGTAAATTGATCAAAACCACTTTGTGAAATAGTTTGGCCATTTCTTAAATATGAATAGATGCATAACCTCTGACTCAGCAATATCATTCCTAGTTATATAAATGTGTATAAAAGTGCACCAAAAGATTCATAAAGAGTGTTCATTGTAGCATTATCATAATTGCCCCAGTCTGGAAATAATCCGAATGATCGATGGAAGATGGATGATACATAAATTTCATACATTGAAATACTACACAGCAGTAAAAGAAATCAGCTACTGCTGTACAGTGGTATTGATAAATCTCACAAAGAAAATGTTGAGTGAAAGAGGCCAGTGAAATAGCTAATGGTTTCATTTACGTAAAATTCGGACACCACCACATCTTAACTATGGTGATCCATTTCAGAGTAGCAGTTAGGTTGTGACTGGGAAGGGACGAGAAGGAGCTTCTCGGGTTTTCCTTCTTGGTCTGGGTGGTAGTTTCAGGGGTATGTTCACATCATAAAAGTTTGTAAAGCTGTAAAGTTATAATTTGTGTTATAACTCTATGTTATAAAGTTATAACATATGTCTATTATTCAGTTATTTTTAAGCAAACAACTCAGAAAATAGGTTAAGTATGAATAAAGTAGCCTGGAACAATTTTAAGGGAGGCACTGATAAGTAGAAACTTAAACCATATATTTATACACTCTCATTATATTCAGCATCAGATTGTAAGTGAAGTGCAGTTACTCGATTTCTTTCAATATTGATCTGCATGTTGATTTATATATCACTCAAGAAACTCCTTTTTCCTTTAAGGGAAGGAAGAGACTTCCTTTAGGGATAGCATATGGGAATAAAAGAATACTAGTAACCTATTCATATATGTTTTGTTTTATTTATTTAAAATATGTTGTTTTTTTGTTGATTTCAGAGAGATGAAGGGAGAGAGAGAGAGAAACATCAATGATGAGAGGGCCATTGATGGGCTGTCTCCTGCATACCCCCTACCAGGGATTGAGCTGCAACCCAGGAATGTGCCTTGACTGGAATCGAACTGTGACCTCCTGGTTCATAGGTCCATGCTCAGCCACTGAGCCGGCTGGGCATATATGTGTTTTATTTTTTTAAATTGGCATCATTTAATTAAAAAAAATGTGTAGTGAGTAAAGGGAACTCTATCCATGAGATGCTTATAAAAGCTTAATTATAGTGGAGTACTCTCACCCTGTTAGAATTGTTTTCATTGGATGTATAAATAGAGACCACAAGGGTCTTAGATTATTAAATGTTTTACTTTTTTTTTTTAAAGTATATGTCTTCACTGACTCAGCAGCCTTCTTTGTTGCTGTCATAGTGGAATGACAGGATCTATTTAATTTTTTAGGTGCAAGTATTTGGACTATATTCTGGAGAAGAATTTCATGAGATTTTTGACTGTCCCATTAAGGTAAGTATTCAGTAAGTTTTAATTTTTCTAAGGGTTTTCTCAATGAAGGCCATAGGATTACAATACTTTGAGTGCTACCAATTTTCCATTCATTTTGTCAATAAGCATCTATTAAACACAGTGTACTCTAGGTCCTATTTGATGCTTTAAAGGAGCACAGGATGTATACTATGTGATTGTGATCTCAGTATATCTGCATGAATATTCTTATAGTGGGTGAGATGATACACACACACAGAGTCTGTGATTAAAGACTCAAGTTGGTATAAACAATATTAAGGAGTCCAAAGCTGAGAGAAGTTACTTTTAGCTGTTCTTGTTAGTGATGGCTTTAGATGGAATGATGTTTGGGCTTTAGTAAATGGACAGGGCAGATGGAGAAGTTGGCTTTCCATGTGGAAGAACAATGTAATAGAAATGGAAAGGCTAGAAATTTCAAATTGTGTTCAGGAAGTAGCAAATGGTCTAGTTTAGATGGTGCATGAAACACTGTCTTGGCAGGAATGCTGTATGGGCGGATTGGAGCTGGCTTTATACTCAGGCTAAGGAATTTGGATTCCATCTGATAAGGAGAAATTATTGAATGTTTAAGAACAAAAAAGTGACATAAACAGGTATGCTTAAGGAAAATTAATATGGTGACTATATACAGTATAGACTGGGAGGCTGATAGCCACAAGACAAGAAGACCAGTTTTAGATAAACAGTTACATTAGTTAAAATGATTATTACAGTTGTTAAAGGAAGAGGTCATTTCTTTTTTTCACTTGTTTATTCTAACATTTATGGATCGACAGTTAAAGGGGAGAAAATATCAGATGGCTTTAGATGGTGTTTTAGAAAGCAGGGTGAGTTAAGGAGGAGAGTGACTGGGGACAAGAGATAATTTAGAAGGCTTATGCAGTACTCCAGGCAGGGCATTACAGGATCTCAGTAAAAAGAGCAATAGTGAGTAAAGGCATACTTTGGAGATCCTGTGGATTCAGTTCCAGACCACTGCAATAAAGCAAGTATCACAATAAAGCAAGTCATAATCTTTTTGCTGGTCTTGACTTCAGTTTGTTAAAGCACAACACCTGTGAAGCTCAATAAAATGAAGTGCAATAAAGTGAAATGTGCTGTATTCGGGATGGAGTAGAAGACATGAATTTGGAAAGCCTTTGGGAAGTTGACCTAGCCGGCCTTGGTGATGGATTTGATGAAGGGTGATGAAGGAGATGAGGGTAAATCTAGGTTCTTGCTTTGGCATTGGTGTGGGAATGCCATCTTGCAATAAGGGGTGATTTGAGTAAGGACTTTGCTGGTTTGCTTTTGAGTTTAGATAACTATACTACATTTGTTAGGAATATTATGGAGGTTTTGGAAACATGAGTGTGGGGCTTAGGATGGAGATTGGCCCTAGAAGCACAAAGTTGATAACCACAGCTGAGTAAGATAAAGCCACTTTTAAAGATATTATCTAGTTAAAAGTTAAAGAGTGAGCAGAGAAGAAAACTGATGATGAAATTGTAGAACAATCTAAGTTAAAAGGTTTAGGCAGTGTGGGATGGGGGGGGGAGTGAACAACAGCAAGGGATCTAAGAAGAATCAGTTAGAAGGAACAGAGGAGATTGAAAACAGGTGTCAGGAAGCCAAAGGAGAGAGTTTCCAGAAGGAAGGAGAGGGCAGTGGTGTGGAAGGCAGTGTGGAGACAGAAGCAGGGCATTTTATTTGGTAATTATAAAGTCACTGGCAGCCTTAGTGAGGACAGTTTCAAGAGCAGGAGGATCACCATATATTACAAAGTAATCTGAAGATAAAGAAATAGAAACAACTAGTATAGACTCTTCTTTCAAGAAATTTGGTAACAAAGAAGAGAGATCATCTGGTGGATAGAGAGGGGGGCAGTGCCGAGTGAAGATTTCTGCAGATCGTGTTTTGGTATATGGTAGAAAATCAGTAGAGAAGGAAGATTGAAAACGAAAGGGAATACTTAGTGGAGCAGCAGTAAGGAATGGGATCAACTACATAGGGAGGGAGAGTAGCCTTGGAAAGAGTCCTGCAGCCTCTGCCTGTGAGACTGGCAGGAAGGAGCTGAGCTGAGCCTCACTATTGCTAAGTTGGGTGGTGGAGAAGCAGCAGTTAAGGGCAGTAACCCTGACTGCCTTGTTTCCTTAGAGATGAAGGGGAGAAAGGGATAAGATAATGTGAATGAGTTGCATAGAGGATGTCTGGAATAATAGTTGCTATCTAGTTATGTATTTATAAGAATGCTAAAAGGACTCTTATGAGAGGTTTTAAGTGTAAAACAAAGAATAAGTGATTTTGTTGGTATCTGGGGTAGATTAGGAAAGTGTTGAAGGGAAGAAAGGCTAACCTGGGAGGAGGGAGGAATGGTTAGAGAAAGAGGAGTCATGCTAGAAGCCCTAAAAATGACAGTGCGAAAGAGGAATTTATTCCACTGGAGGGTGGAAATGTATCAGTTAATAAGAACAAAAGATATATTTATTTGAAGGTTTATGAAAGTATAATTGTGTGGATTTTTAAAATTCCTGGAAATGTACTTTGTGTTAAGTTAGAAAAAAAACAACCCAAAATGCATTGGTGATTACAGGGGTTTGGGGGTAAGAGGATACAGAGTATGAGTAGGCTTACAGCCATAGAAGGGAGCCCACAGGCAGTCCTGTACCAAGTGGTGCCAGGAGACCTTCAGAAAGCCACTGGCAAGTGATGTGGGAAGGGATGGGGGTGGAGAAGCCTGGGGAGAAAACCTGTGTGAGAGGTTGGGAAGAGATTGGCTGAGTGGAGAGAGAGTGAGAACCAGGGGGACAGGAACTGAGGGTGGAGGTAAAAGGGAAGGTCCTGAATGGTTAGCTCCATAACTCTCGGGTCCTGTGGCTCTTTGATGCAACTACGCTCAATGTCTCTGAGGCTGCATTGCACTACCTGATCCACTTGGTGCCTTCAATCATTGGAAGGCATCCTGGTGAAGGACAGAGCTAGTTGCGTTCTTTCTCTGGGATCTTTCGTGAATTGTATTCAGTTGCAAACATTCATGACATCTTACTGCCTTGATTGACCCTACCTTGTGGTCTGTAAGGAGGGAGACTCTTCACTCAGCCAGAAACTAGAACTAATTCACTCTCATCTTTTAGCTTTGACCTGGCTTCATAGAAGAAATATTTTCACATGAGCAGAACTCAGATATCCTCAATTGTTGCAGAATATTACCTGAATAGATTACTTCCTACCAATATATAAGGATAATTTTTATATTATGCTGCCTATAATGTATGAAGTATTTTTATTCTGTGCCTTAACCATGACTCCTAAACTAGCGTCAGGTTCTTGTTCCCTGTAGATCATCGCTGTGCACCCGCACTTCGTGAGATCCAGCTGCAAGCAGTTTGTGACTGGAGGGAAGAAGGTAAATACTCTGTCTGCATCACATGCAGTCTTTGAGAGGGGGTGTGTGTTTGCTCTTTAATTTATCCTTAATATTTTTAATGTTTGACTATTCATTAGGAGAAATTTTGATAAACAACAACATAATGAAATCATAAGACCATCATCTCTTGAGGGAGGTGTGGCCCAGTGTGTTTCTCACTGACATTCCTTTGGAATAGCTTCAGAGCAGGAGAAAAAGAGACAGGTTGTTACTCAAACTATCATTTAACACTTTGAAATATTGTCTCTTCCACAAAAAAGAGGTAGCATTTAAAAATAACAAAATCAATTAAATTAGTGTTCTTTTTTCCCTTTGTAGAAAATCTCGCAGGCCTTGATAAAGTTTTAGAACAGTTCTGGCTATTTTTACTGACTTGTTTCTGGCATATTTTATTATCTTAGCACTGTTTTAAAATAAGAGAGTAAAATAATCCTTTTGTGCATTTATATGTTTGTTTATAGCTTTAGTAAATTGTAAAACAATATTTCTATTTGTAGAAATTTTTTTTCTATTTTTATTAACCAGTGGTATTTTCAAAAACATTTTTATAACAAAATGCTATACTGTGCTGGCACTGTGCATTTTATTTCATTTTTGAACTCAGTGAAAGGAAGCGGTCTGTGGTTATTTCTGTGGCAATGTATAGCTGTAGAATGGCTACTTTGAGGCTCAGATACTGAATGTTTTCAAATGGTTTATGATAGCTATCTTTTTCCCTTATTCTGCTGCTTCACAGAATGATAGTGTTACCAAGCTAGGGCCAGCTACCTGATGCACATAAGAGGCAAAACTATGACATTGGCTTTGGAGAGAAGAAAGGGGGTTTTTCTTTGCTGAGATGACCCTCAGGAGACAGGAGGCACCACTTAAATCTGTCTCCCCAATCTGGACAAATTTTAAGGGTTAGTGAGAACAGGGTGGCATGTGGTAGTGCTGGGGAGCAAGTTTTTATTAGAGGGTTTTGGAACTTTACTAATTATGGTGTAGAGTTGATGGGCAAGAGAAAAAATGGAATTGATTGTTCACTTCTATATTTGTCCATATTTTCTCTAGGCACCAACTCATCCTTATTGAAAGAACTTATTAGAGTTTCATAGACTGAAGATTCTTGGTTCAGGAGTCATCTTGAGGACAGGGGTGGTGCCTGCTTAGTACTGTCCTTGTAAAATAATTCAAAGAGTGTCTTAATCACCAATTTGCTTTAAGGGAGCAGAACTAGTGTGCTGTTTCAATAGGGCAGGAAAGCATACTGGTCATTACCTTACCCAGCATTTCTCAAGCACTGGTTTTAGTTCATTGTCATGGTTGAGTGACAGGTCTTGTAGATTCTGATTCCATTTCACAGCACAAAGCCAAGATTTTACCAACTCTGATTTCTGGTTGAGAGCTAGCTAGTTTTTTTTCTCCCACCCCACAACCCTCCGTTATCTTTAGGTTGTAGTCTCATTAGCCTCATATAAAAATGTATGTGAGATTAATCAGTGGGAATTGCAGATTTAATTCTAACATTCTCTATCTTAGATCTGCAGTTGACCAAACTACCTTACTTGTCTTTGTTGACCTCAGGAAAGAGTAGCTTTAAAATTCCCCTTGTTAAAGTATTTCTTTACTGAACTCTTTTCTGGTAGGACTTGTATATGACTTATAGCGTAAATTCACTTAGCTGTACTTTAAAGTCATGCATTTTTTAATTTAAAACTCAGTGGGGATAAAGAATGCTGAGCCACTTTTTTTGTTTGTTTTTTAAGTGGCTTAAAACAATAAACTTTTGCCCATCTGGAATGCTCAGTTGGTTGAGTGTCATCCTGTGCACCAAAGGGTTGCTAGTTGAATTCCTGGTTGGGGAACATGCCAGAGTTGTTTCTCTCTCACATCAATGTTTCTCTCTCCTCTCTCTCTCTCTCTCTCTCTCTCTCTCTCTCTCTCTCTCTCTCTCTCTCTCTCTCTCCCC